CTCTTCCACCACCTTCCAAACAAGGCTTAACTTTGACCTTTAATTGCTGACATTTATTGAAGATCCTGAGCCAGGCATTAATTTTGTAGGTACTTATTCATTTAATTCCCACAATCCTAATGTAAGCATTATTATCCCTTCTGTAGGAGTGGGAAAAGCCTTGAGAAAATTCACTGGAAAATCTCCCAGCAGTGGCCAACAAATTAATGGTATTCATTACCTGTGAGCTTTAGAACTGTTTTTTAAAAAAATCATTTTTAGGAAGCATCTTTTCAGTGTCTAATACAATAACTGAAATTCTAACCACTAACCTCTCTCCTCTCATTTTGAGTCAGTGGTCTGTCTCACTAGGGTTCCAGCTGCCACATACACACTCAAGTTATCTTAGAGTAGGGCTTTTATGTTAAAAGTCTTTGAAAAATTTCTTTTTCAGGCCCCAACATTACCAATACATGATCTGTATTAAAATGAGTTGAGGTACTTGCTCTGTCAAGTACAAATAGTTAGTTAACCTATCCTATGAGAAGTAATGATTTTGCAGTTTTCTTTTTTTTAGTAACTCCACTGATTTCTGTAAGTAAAGGACCCATGGCCACTTAATTTTTGTGAGTTCAAATATGTTTTGTGAACTCAACACTAAGACACAGGATGATCTATCAGTTTCTACCTTTAATTCAAACATTAGTACTACCTGCAAAGCAACTAAGTTTTGAGGGTACTAAAAACACAATCTCCAGAGAAATACAGCCATACCAAGAATATTAACCACTAACCACTATGCTTTTTCCATAGGGGTTAAGTCTCCACAATTACAATATTCATTTTCATGAACAGTTAAAGAGTATTTTTAGTCATTCAAAGAGAGAAAGCTTGGCTGTCTTTTCTCTTTTCAATGAAAAAGCAACAAAGCTATCACCTTTTAAAATATTTATGCAGGGTGTTTTTTTTGTTATCACTAACACATCATTTACAGTTTGGGTCCCAATCAAAAAGGGATCCATTTTTAAAACCAGGTCTTTTCAGTTATGCTATTATACACGTCGTCTGTAACTTTCAAGTAACTACATCAATCGCCCAAATTTCCTAATACATGATTAGAGTATTTTCATTACTGCCCACTGGCCTATTTGTTGAATTTAATGCAAGTGACTGGCAGTCAACTACGATTATGAAGAACACAAGCTTTATACACAAGTCTCCAAAAGGCATGCCAACACAACTACAATCCAATCTAACATACACTCTAAAATCACCCAAATCACACAGGAAAATTCTAGAAATGTTAGTTAGAAATATACTTGTTTAATCATCCTCTATTTTTCTAAAATGACCTGGTAGGTATGTTCTAGTGGTGAAACTTGTGGACCTACCACCTCCGCCATTAACACGGTAACCACTGTACGTGACTAAACAGTTGCTGAGCCTGGTCAACTAGAAAGCGTATCATTATTAGAACGTTCTCATTAAGCACATGCTATACCTGTAAACATGTTTTTAAAAAATTTTTTTAAAGGAGAAGCTGCTGTATATTAGGCACTGAGTACAAGTCTTGAAAGAGCCAGGAACACTATTCTGGGCTAGTCCACTCTTTCTCTAATACAAAAAAATAAAAACATTAGTTCTACTTGTATCCATTCAGTAAGGATGATACTGAGACAGCAGGAAAAACAGTGATTCCTAAGCAATTAAAAAGTTACAGACGTGTCTAAAAGATTAGTCCCAGGGCTGCCACCTGAATTACCCCTCCGCACTCCCGGACTGCACCACCCGCGTGGTTCTGCACCGGGCCCCGCACCCCGCCCGGCCAGCCGAGGGGACACCCCTGAGCGAGCCCCACCCTC